GATCCATCTCGTCGTTAATGCGACGCGAAGCGTCCCCATAAAAGGCTCGTGATCTCTCCTTTCGCCACCTGAACAAGGGTGTCTGGTTAATCCGAGGTGAAGGAGGTTCGACGACGTCGCAAAGCCGCGATATCGCAAATAAACGCTGGACGAATTTACAAGCTGAATTAGGTACGTGTCTTGTCCACTTGTCGGCATGTCGATGCTTTCGTTGCCAGATAATAAATAATAGAAAATAATGTTAACAAAAGTTTTAGACCTAAATTCAATAAAATTCTCAAGAAGCAATTCCTTGAAATCTTATAGAAATAATAAAAAATTATTTTTACATTTTTATTTATACATTTATTTTTTATATGCTTATGTGTATACATATATAATTGTGATTTATATATATGATATGATGTATAATAAAATATCAGAATTTTTGAAGCATGTGTGTAATATTTGGAACGAAATTTGATTTTACGAGTTAGTGATCTATTGCAATGCAAATTCTTGCAATATGTATTGGTTTATTTACAAATCTTAATTAAACATTCCGGGTGTCAGTCGATTCGATCGAGATTATTAGTTCCCGTTGTTGCTAGCACGCCAATTGTTAGCATTTCCGGTCGATGCCTCGAAGGGAAATTCCACGGAGTGTACGGTATAAGGGAAACTATGTGCGTAGAATTTCGCGAATTTCCAGGTTTACGGGATAATCATCTTATGAGTTGCCTCGAAGAATCGATGCACATGAAACAACATTATTATTCGATGCTACTTATATTGGGAGTAAGTTTTCGAAATTTCTCTTATATATAAACCTTAATATAGCTTGCTTTCCTTCGTGAAAGCATTGCTTGTACATATGATGTAACATTATATTAAAAGTTAAAAATGAAGATACACACAGAGTCTTAAAAATTGTATATTAGAAAACACTACATTGCCTTAAAAATAAATTGGGTATCGAAATTATAGGTTCACACAATGGGGGGTAAGAATAAGCCGAAGGAGTTTGAATTGACGCAATTAATGTTGCAAGATGAACTTTACTGCTATGACTGCGTAATCGAAATCCGATATGGAAACTGAATCCCATTTCCTAATTGATGTAACATAAACGCGTTAAAATTGATATAGTTTACTCTCAGAATTGCTTTATCTTACAAATTGTGTGCGTATTCCAAATGTTTATTAAACATATGAAGAAATTAAAATTTTTGTAATAAAAAGTATATTGAATGATTATATAATATGATTTCGTGGTGAAAATTCAGTTTCTAAATAATAATATTAGTTGTACCAAAATAATGTATCGAAATGATTATTTTTAGCATTTTGAACACTGTGAGATATATCTCCTTCTTTTTACAAAAATCTCTCTATAAGTCACATTTTTTTTATTATTATTTTCATTTTTTGTTATGTATTCTTTTGTCTACTTCATTTGTTTTAATTTTTTATATTATCTTTATAGTCACATTTTTTATAGAAACTTTTTATCTTCCATGTTACGAAAGTTTACGTCGATTCCTGCAGGTAATATCACAAATAACTTTATATCTTTTAAACTTTAAGGAGTTAGCTTTTTAGGGTTTTATCGAATTTAGAAAGAGAGAGAGAGAGAGAGAGGTTTGACTTTTGTGGAAATTGTTCTCAATGTCATCTGACAGCAAAATCGTCAATGTATTGGCAAGTGGACAAGGAATGTAATTCAAACTGTAAATTTGCGCAACGCAGCGAATTTATTTGCGACGTCGCGGCTTTGCTGCTGACTAAATGGCAAATTAAAGTCGTCCGAACATAACTTCGATATTCAATTACGTCCGTTTTATCTGTCTGATAGAAAAATCGTTCGCAGAACTGGATTCCATCTCGATCTCGCGTGCGATAGTTGTAACGTAAGCACGGCGCGAGAGGTGCGTCAAATGGCGCTGGCGAGGCAGCATATCTTATTAGAAACAAATATTCATGTCACATACCCGGCGCCGGCTGGTGCCAAGTGTTTGACTGTTACCCTACGCCGCACGTGCGTGAGAGACCGGGCGAGTCTGGCATATCTACCCCGTGTTTCAAAGAAGTTTGAAATAATATCGAGCGAATTTTTCCATTCGACCCGTAACCGCTTCCCGTTTCTCGTTCCCTCTGCCACCCTCCGTTCGCGTCGAAATCCAAATAACCAACCGCAATGCATGTGTGCCTTCGTCCACTCGCTAGACATATTTTTAAAGTGCATTCGAGAAGATCTGTATTTGATGCGAATATTTGACAGTAACGTCATGTTTTTTTTTTTTAGATGTGAAGTGTAAATGACGCTTTGAAACGCGCGGTTGTTTGGTATATTACTGGCCATTATTACGTCCAGCGATCGCATTGTACTTGGATTGTTGAGATATTTTTTTCTTGTGATTTTTTTTTTAGAGAAATACTAAGTCTTTTTTATTAAAAATTCTTTTGTCGCTTCGGAAATGATCTTTTACGATGAAAATATCGAGATAGTGTTTTCGAATAATAATAATTTAAAATTTAATTATAATTATAATTTGAAATTAACAATTTAAAATATTTATATCCAATTTGGCCAAAGAAATTGTGATTGAAAAAATTACATGACAGTTTTTGGACTTTCTGCGTAAATAATGTTCACTTTATGAAGGTAATTTGCGACAAAACATCTGAATAAATACATATCGTATATGGAAACTATTGTACATATAGTATATACATTTTTTATAGAATTTGACATTTTAAAATATTGAGATATACTGAGTACTTAATAAAAAAACATAATTTTGATATTCATATCGGTTTGATAATGCTGCAGAAAAACATAAGTAATTGACGTCAAACAATTATTTGTAATAAACATTTATATTATAAGGAAAATAATTCCTTCCGTCGAACTACAAAGCTATGGTTTATTAAAATTAAAAGCTCAATTTATTAATGAATAGCGAATAAATAATGTATAAATACACGTGAAAACAATTTGCTTAAAAAACAGTTTTTCATTCGTATATTCATCATATTTTGCATATTTTAAAGTCAGTATTTAATTTAAAGCATGCAGTGCAAAAGTCATCATTATACCGTATATCGATATTTACGGTAGAATACATTTTTAAACATAACATTCAATATCCTTCCTCTATTACACAATAAATGATCAAGATAGGATATCGAATATTACATTTAGAAATGTATGTTATAAAAATAATATATCAAAAATAATTTACATTTAAATACGAACTAATTTAATAATTTTTCTTAATCTTTTTAAATGAGAAAAGCATTGATACTAAATAGTTTATTTGATATTCTTTGAACGAGACTCCATTATCTTTAGAATGGTATCGCAATATTGCTGTTCATGTGTTATTTATCTTAATAAAAGAGTTTTCCTAGATGAGTGAATAAAAATACAAAAAGTCTTATCATATCTTCTACGATTTGAAAAGAATTTATATTTAGAGCTCTTTATCGATTTGCAAAGATTAAGTTTTTTTGCGCTTGACTTTACGCAAAGGTACATGCACTCAATATTAAATTTCTAAAGTACATTGGACTATCAACGCATGCATTCCCGAGTTAGAATGCAGTGCAACATCGAGATATCTTATTAAAAATAATCTTTTCTCACTTTGGCATACATTTATGATTTGCATTAAACATCAACGAAAATAATATCAATTTTAGTTATTTAATCTATCGCTGTTAAGGAAAATCGAGGTAATTAATTTTTATTTTTTTTAATGGCATTTTTACTCTGGAAAAATTTTTACCGATTTGGACCTACAGTTAAGCACTTTAACAATTTGGTTAGTGCCCCTTAAGTGAAAATTATCTTTGCGTAACTGAATATCGACAGAACTAATTGAGAGAATTAACTGGTATAATTTAAAAATCTTTGAAATAGATAGAATAGCTATAAATTACAATTTTTAGTTACGCGGTGCTATTTCTAGTTCAAATACGTAAAAATAGGGTTACGATATCCAAATAATTTGATAACTATAATCGTGGGCCTCAAACTTTTCCCAGCTTGATTTAAAATATTAACAAAATTTTATAGAGAGATATTAAAATTTCGATATGTCTTGCTAAACATTTTATGTGGAACTTACCTTCATCAAACTTGAACTTGCTCCGATATGCAGAATTGTCGTAAGAGCTAAAAATAAGCAATTTTTATCATTTTATATATAAAACATCAATAAAATAATGTATCAATAAAACGTAAGCTTTCTTGTAATAATTAATTATGAGAATACAACTGTACGATTTCGTAATATGAGAAAACTCTGAGCATAACAATGTATTATCACTTAACAAAAACAATAATGGATTCGTGCAATAACATATACAAGATTATTATCTTATCGATAGCTTCATATGCAACACGAAGCTCCGTCTTTATTCCGCCGTGATACTTGATTACAGTATTTTTTTTTTGTTCACAATTATTTACAGAATTATTCTCCGCTACCTTCTTACACGACTATATTTATATACAATCCGTTTGTCGCTCGTCGTCTCGTTTTTAATTAATCTTCGCTTACCAAGGTGATCGATTGCTCGTACGTACAATTATACAAAATTACGGGAGCACTATGCATCACGCGCTGGGGGGGAAAGACGCCGTCGAGGAAATCGGTATCGAACGCTACTATGACTTCGCGATTATTATTTATAAGTACAGGAAGATACAGCGTTTAGGTTTGGTATACATTGTCGACGGTCGAACTTACCTTTACACGAGCAGTATTTCATTCTATCATCTTGAGATAATACTCGCAACAACGCCGAGATTCGTTCAGATACGGAACGCGATTGTCCCATTTAACAACGCAGGGGGTTGCAACTTCTTCTCTTAATGTACAAGTCGAATCGATTGCGCTCGTGAACGAAGACAATGCAATTCATTTAATTAGCTTCTTGAACACTCATTGACAAGCACGTTTCGTGTCCCAAAGGATTCTTAAAGCACATTTCTATTTCGCGAGGTATCCCCGTCAGGACCAAGATGATCTCGGGATACATCTCGACTTACTGGGACTTTACATAAATCTAACCAAGGAACCACCTTTCAACCGTGTTCGCCTTTTATTATCTTACAAAAAGTATACAATACATCATATCGATTAAAACTCAATAGGAAAGTTACTTTGTGGTTAACATCAGAAGAATCGAGACACCTATATCTGTAATCATATTGAAAAAGACACTCCTTGTTTAATGTTTTCTTCTTTTTCGTTACATTTTAATTTCTAAAGTGACACTCTTTTTTGAAACATTTTATTAAAGAAGAAGGGAAGTATAATTAAAGGAAAGTTTTTATTAAAAAAGGGAAAAATATAAATCTTCTAAATGTGTGTGTGTGTGTGTGTGTGTGTGTGGATTTAAAAAGACTAAACCGGATTAAAGTTTGCAGATAAATAAAATATTGATAGAATACATGAAAGATTGCCGGGTAAAGGCCTCTTTGATGGTTTAAGTTTTTAAGTTAACTGCTTATCTTAAGGTAACATTTTTTATTTTTGGTCTTAATATGATCAACGATATGTTCGTACTTTGAAGATATGTAATAGATCGATAGTCAAAGATAATTCATTGAATCTAATAAGAAATGATATTATTTTATCTCGACTCTTCTGATGTTAATAAAATACGGCTTTATGATATCGATCCTAAAGCTTAGTGGCGCTGGAAGAGAAGGAGGAGGGTTTAAATATTCCTTAAAGGGTTGAGAAATTATTCTTCGCATCATGCACACCGCTAACAGTTTTCCACGTATTCGAAGTTTCGTTTTCTCGTATTGTCTGATATTACAGTCTGGAGGAGTATTTGGAAGCGCGAAAGGAGGAATGAGCCGCCGCAGGACTTCGCCGAGTGGCAATGACATACAGTTGCCTAGATAATCGCCAGTGATAATCTCCACGGCGGACGACTTAGAGATTTCGAGGGTGGTCCGCGGCCCTGTATCCCGTTACGCAGGAAATTCATCGGCAGCTCTCGCGCGAGAACGTTTTTTTTCCCCGTGCTACATCCATAATACATTTTACTTCTCGAGACCTGTATCCCAATATTGTCCGTCGCCCGAACTCAAAGTTGGGAAATAAGCGTCGAGAATCCGATTATCCGTGCGATCGGGAATTGAAAGAGGAAATGTATCACTTAAGACGTTCATCGCGTTTCGAATACAGTTACTTTAATCGATCTTTGTTTTCTTAAGAATCTGTATTCGCCGATTTATGCACGATAAAATTTCGCATGTTTCTAAGAGTAATATCTCTGTCACAAGGATATGATTCTTGCTTTTTTTTTCTTTTTTGTGGCACATTATGTCAATGAACTAAAAATATTTTTAACTTACTTATTTTTTGTGTGTGTGTGTGTAGGTGAGTATGTGTCTGTGTGTGTGTGTGTTTGTGCAAGTTAACACAGCTTCGAAACTCGATTGTGAAAACTACTGCACGAAGAGCGAAAAATTCTAGAACAGGTATTTGGATAGGTTTTTTTTGCAACGGTGTTTTCGTTCGATAAGGAAGATATGTTATTTACGACTCAATAAGCGCAAAGAAAAACTAACGACTGCAACAAGCCACGTTGCGAAAACTAAAGTAAATAAAAGAGGAGCCATGAAAAAGATAAGCATGGGTATACTGGGGCAAAAAAGACGAAGGAAGTTCAGGAATCGTATAGTATATCGACATTCTATACGAGAAGAGATCGATAAAAACGACAGTATCACATAATTGAAATAAAGAAAAATAAATGAAATTTGCATTACGCGAGGTATATTGTTTGTACAATATCGTAAAACCATTGGAAGATAAAAACATAGCATTATTTCACACAATGTCAACGTGAATGCCAAAAGGGACGATCCGCGGAGGCGATAATTCACGCAGATAAAAGGAAGTTGGCTAATTCTCCTTCTCCAAAACTCTTAAAACTTTATACCAGTTCAATCGACCCACTTAAGACTCATAAAACAAACTTCTCGAAGCTGTTCGATCGTGTCGTAGAAAAATCCCAAATCGTCTGGCAGTTAAAGTGCCAAAATATATCAATGTTGAAGCGCCTCGAGCGAAGAACTGACGTTTAAAAAACGTTATCAAAATTTCAATTAACACGTAAAAAGAGACACGAAAGTTGACGGATATCGATTCGTAAATCATTCATTCATCCATCCCGGATCGAGAATAATCAACGTGTGCGCGTTGTAATTTTGTGATGAAGGTAAATTATTTTTGCACATCTTTATCACGGTTATCTACGGTTCCAAATAATATTTGATGAATCAGAGACAAAACTGAGGAAAATGTTACACGTATGGGGGACATTTGTCCCCTTGCGATCAAGTCGCGAAATTACATTGATCGTTCTCGTTGCGACGTGTTGAAGTGCGCACTTCTGAAACTGTACCTACCCTTCGTCTGGCATGTCGAAACGGCGAAAAGCACGGACTGCGAGCGCGCGATAAACCAACGTCGTGCAACCGGCGCGCATACGTAACTATCTGCGTCCCCCGTGTATATCGCCCCGACGGGCTTACACGTCGTACCTCTCGGGACTTTAATAAGCGTAACCGACGGCGATTAAGCGAGTGGCCGAGAGGGGGGTCAGAAATCTACGAGCAGCCATAGCCGCCGGAGAGACGGCTTGGGGGCCTGCAGCGTGAGAAGGGTTACAACTGTAACTGCAGCTGCAGTTGTAACTTTATGGAGACGACCGCGCGACGTAGTCCACACGGAACGGTAAGCTCGTTTGGAAGTCATACGAAGGGAGCCATCGACATCTTCGGGCACCGCGACGACGTCGACGATGAAAATGAAGATGGTGAGAATGAGAACGTACGACAGGGAGAAGGCAGGGGACCTTCGGCGAACCACGAAATCTTGACTTTGGCCCTCGCTCGATTCGATGGACCGTATGTCACGCGGTCGTTTCGTGCCGCCCCGACTTGTGGCGCGGATAATAATACCGCACAATTACTCCGTGGATGCTGCGAGTTCGCGAAAGAAGGGAAATAAAATCAGCATAAAAGCGAGAGCCGCCAAATGGCGGCCTCGGCACGCCGGGCCTTCTAATGAAAACGTGAGACTAGGGCGAGAGGGGGGGAGGCGGCGGTGGCCCTTAAATTAATTCACGATGAATTACGTCCGCGCCAGCTGCGCGGGCAGTTGTGTTTATTTATGGAGGAACTAAGATCTTCCTCCTCTAGTCCTTAAAGGCGGATTCGCCCTTATATAATTTCTCACGGTGACCGAGAGAGGCGGCCTACCTCTCCGCTGTTTTCCCGCGTCGCCCGGAGAGAGAGGAAGAGTGAGAGAGAGAGAGAGATACGATAATCGCTCCGAAACGAGGATTCCCTCCGACGAAATAAGAGGGAACAACGCTCGTTCGCGGCCTCGCAGGCTACGACGGCGTGTCGCAAACGAGCGCGATTTGGCCCGTCGGGGGAAAAAGCGTCGCGATTTTTTTTCCTCGAGGGTTTTTTTTTCGGTCACCGAGAGAGCGACCATTCATTGGCTCTCGTGAGGACGCTTGAGGACGCTTCGCGAACCAGGTTTTTTTTGCGGCCGGCCATTTCGATGTAGATTGCAGTGACGAATGTGGCACGTCGCATATTATATCGAACGCAAAATGGGCCATTGGTTAATTGAAGGGTTCCCCAGAAAAACGTTGCAAACGACAAATTTATCAGATGCGACGTTTCAGCGGAACAAGCGTGAATCTAAAATGTATATACAATATCGAGAATATAAAATAACGATTCTCTCCTAAATTGTCATTTAATGTATCTCCATTTTGTCGTGCATTTTAGAACAATGCAAGCAAATACTGTGTAACCATTTTACCATTAAAACTTCTCTCTTTTTTAAATTTCAATATTACTTTGAAACTATAAACTATTTGCAATATAAAAACTTCATTACAGCTTTTATTTTGAAATTAAGTAAAATAGCGAAAGGACTAATTTCATGTTTCACGTAAAAAAAGTTTGGTTGATGTTTAAGAGCAATTAGGTGCGGGCAAACCGATCATGAAAGACAAATCGATTGAGACACACACGAAAATGGATTTTAATAGAAATTGGGCACGTATGATGACGCTCCTGCGAGAGAGCTGACGGCGAGTACCGAAAACGAACCGCGAAGCGTAACGAGACGCAATTTCAGTTGCCATAAAACTTCAAAACCAAGCACCCACGGGGACGCCCGATTTATTTAGCAAGTGAATACAAAACTGTCGTAGCACTCGTAGCGAGTGATGCGTGGGGAATCGATGCGATCGATTTTGTTATCTTTCCACTGGTTGTGTTAGATCCACTTTGTGGATTTTCGTTCGAAAAAAGGATAGAGATCCGAAAGCGGAATCGGAACAGCCAATCTGGACACGCCATTACGTCACGACGTTCGCTGTTGCTGTACGTCAAGTATAATTAGAGAAATTACTGCGAGAACCGAATGTCACGATAACAACGATTGGAATGGCTGGACAAGGGTTTGACAGTAATTAAAAATCTATCGATACGGAACGTAATCACACTATGGAAATATAAAAATATAATTAGTACCGTTCTCTCTCTCTCTCTCTCTCTCTCACACACACACACACACACACACTCTCTTTTTTCTTTCTCTCACACATGAACTCTACTCACTTGAAGCAACTCGCGCCAGAAAACAATCGTTACTAATGCTATCGAACACTTATTAGTTGTTTGGCTCACACTGGAAACAAGTAATCATATATCACTTCCTGATCGTAGGACGCGCGATCGGTAAAATTTTTTATTGACTATTTTGATTGAATTGCTCCTATAAGTCTCATTATAGCTTGTAATTTATACACAACGTAGATTTTTGAGAAGCATCTTTATTATCTCAAATATCTCTTTTACATATTTTAATTTTCATTAAAAAATGTTAATTTTATATGTTAGTTTGTAATTTTCTTAAATATTTATTGATAATTTTATTTTACGCTGGTTGTAAGCAAAATTAGAGTTTAATGTTATATTTCTTGCAAAACTATAAACTTACAAAGAATCAGCCGTGGTCATAAAAATGTCAAATGCATTATATTTGTAATATTATACTTATTATATTTGACGGATATAAAATATTGAGTTTGTTGTCTTGTCGTTAAGTCAATCAATGAGGACAAGAACTATACTGACTTATGCTGATTTCATTTCTTACAATATCCAAAAATGCAATATTTATTTCCGTTCAATTCTTCCTTTTATAAAAAAAAATTTGTTCTTCCGATTTTTGTTACTTTTTTAGTTTCTGCTTTTAGAAACTCTCGAGAATGGAGTTTTATTCAGCATTGTTTTTAGATTTATCTATGTTAAATCCATTAATGTTAAATTCACGATCAACAGTTGCTATTAATATTTTCAAGTAAATACCTGACGAATATCATCCAATTTTATTTTAACCGAAAAGAAGTTTCAATATCTAGAGCTCGTTCTCGAAACCCTTGAGTGAACAATCATTGAAAACGATTCTCCACTCCGCCGCTATTGGGGAACACTTTGGTACGAAGAATCGTATTCAAAAAGTAGAGCACTAAATGTTTCGCCGAAGACATACTTAATTCCGTGTTGACTGAAGAGTTTTGTGCTGTCGAGAGCCGCTAAACGAGAGGGCTGTAAAAACTCCCCCGAGCGACCGGTAACCTTGCGGAGAAGAAAAGAAAGTTTGCGGGAGAGAGAACAGGTTACGATCGCACGTCCGTGATCGAGGCGTGTGTGGCGAACAACTTGGGGGCCGCTTGTGTCCACGATCGATTCGTTCGAGATCGAGGGGCGTCACGCGAGAGACACGGCGCGTCTTGCTACTTCTGGCTCGAACTCCTTTAAAGCTTTCAATACTCGTTTAAACTCGCGATACATATCCTATTACACCGGCGTAATCGTAATGGCTATCTACGGAACGCCACGCCACTCGCACGCGACTGGAGAGCGCAGCGGGGCAGAGCTGGGGGAAAAGTGGCACGAATGTGTTAGTTTTACCCTGACGTATGCACACATATACACGTGCGAGCGTGCCTGTATATGATACACGTAAATATGTACATATCACGCAGATTTATTGCCGCCGAAACTGAGGAGTTACGCACCTGACTCTTCGATCCGCGCGAATATTATTCAGGATTATCATTTCGAGATATGTTCTTCTCCTTATCGTTGACCTCATCTGTCCGTTCAATTTCAGCCTCTATCGCTTCATTGTCTTTCTCCTTACATTTTGCGTCTAACATTTCTTTCTTTCGTAACGTTTCGATTCGATATATCGAGAATCCGCAATTTGATTTGATAATACGCGCGCATGCTTTCGCATAAGAAAATAGAGAAGAAATTGATATTTTACGATAATAACCTTTTCTTCGCTAATAAATAATTAAAAATAAAATAAAAAGTTAAGATTTTCAATTTTTGATTTAATTTATATTTTACATAAAAATCATTATTTAGCTCGATTGATGCTAGTATTAATCTCATTCTCATAAATCACCGTTGAAATCAAATAAAATGGTGATATCTTGTGTGTATCGTAAAATGGGATTACGTCATACAAGTCTAATTTTATACATAGGAGTAAAAATCTAGGGCATTAATGTATAATGTATAAAATAGAATCAAATTAAATTATACTGAATTCGATCCCTGATTTTAATTAACTTAGCACTCACCGATCGATTCTCCGATTCAAGTATCACGATCAATATATGCTCCGCAATGCACGTCCCCCCGCCTTCAGTCCCATCTGGTTCATCCCTTCCGCGAGCTTCCGATGCATTGATTAGGTCTACGAATTACGAATAAGCCACTCAAGGAAGACGATACGTCGTCGTCGGCGGCGGCGACTTAAGCCCATTCGAAGTTGTTTTTGCCGCGTAGAGCCGTGCAAGCTGCTGAATAGCCAATGAAGATTAAAGCTTGCGGGCTTTTACTGCACGCGGACTTAGCTACGGGCCGTAGCGGCTTCTTCGCGTTCATCAGTTAAAATTAAAATATAGTACGTTTGGGGAATAGCACCGAATTTTCTCAAATACCTATTCTATCTATTTTTCTTTCTCGCGGCAGCTCGCTATACAAACAACTTCGATTTTATGGTCATTGAGTGTCGATCGTATATAACAATTCTTCTTCCGAATTATGTCGTTGCGAGAGATCGCGTTACGAGAATCGCAACGTGCGAGCATTGAGAGTGCCATGACTCAAGTCCTTCAGAGTTCCTCGGCTCATTTCCCGTTTCTCATCACCATCACCATCTTCGGCAAACAATAAAAAGCCACAACAGCGGCGACACCAGGACGAAGAGCCGTCGTGGATAAGGATCAGCGCCCGAACTCGCGTTGATCGGTCGTTTCTTGCCGACGCGGATCGTGGAGGACGGCGTGGCGAGCGACGGATAACCCACGTGTCCGTGGACCGTGTTATCCACCGCTAGTGGCTTGTCCATCTTGTCCATCTCCGCCGAACCGTACACCACCTCGTCCTCCTCGTCATAGAACGGTGGTGTCTGCGTTTTCGCCGGTCCCGAAATCTCTGAAACAGGAGGAAGATACGCGGTTTCGATGGACCCAACGAAAAAGAAAGCAATTTATAATTACACTGTTAAATTCGTTGTGTCAAATTAAATTACTAAATTTGAGTCATTTTTAACCATCCCTATAGGGGTGATCGCCACTGCTCCTACTTAATATGTCGTTAATTTAACTAAAACAATGTTAATTTAACTAAACCAATGGAGTTAAAATAATCCCTGTTTTGTGTTAAAGTAATAGATTTCGACACATATGGTAATTAAAAATAACAAAATGTTATTTAATTTAATTAAGATATTGGATTAAGTTTTATTTTTTAATATTTAACAGTGTACAGGAATATTCGAAAATATAATTAATTGTGATACGTTTGGGAGACATAAACGTAATAATCGACATGCATATTTATAAAAAGTGACTTATAAGTGAGGCTATGGTGACGCCATGTAAATCGAAAACCCTCTTCATTGTATTGTTTCAAAAAGTAGTAATGTCGCGAATTTATCGGCGCTTAGAGTTTTGACGCTACAAACTTTCTCCATCGGGACTCTCTTGAATAAAAGAACAAAGGTCAAGCTAGATTGCTTGTAGACAAGACAGCTCCGACCACATGCCGTTCTCATGTACAGAGTTTAGTATCAGACGAGTAAGCACACATGTGTGTATTCATATATATATATATATATAATATGTTTTCTGAAGTTTCTATTGGACTTTAGGGAAATATTCTGTGATGAGTCTCTCGAGAAGATTGCCCTGATAAAATCGATTGCATTATCTTTTTCAGCGAATTTCAAATTTCCGATCTTACGGAGATCCCGTTAACATTAGCAAGTAAGAAATGCAGGCTGAGACCGTCTCTTGTATCGTCATCTTTAAATTTACGTACGCAAATATGTCATCCTTACGTCCACCGCACCGGATGAAGATCCCTCGTTCTCGAAATCGATGGGTCGATAACACGCGACGATTTACGTACGCGAGTAGGGTGTACCGCACTCGCCAGCCTTATCTTCTCACCCTTCCGCCTCATATACCCTGAGGGGAGAGCTGTAAGCTAGCCGAGAAATCCGAGCGCGCGCGCACACGAAAAGATGAGGATTGACCGAGGGGCATCTGCCGCTGATATAGAGGCAACTCCTCGGAGATTTCCGTCCGCAAAGTGACGATGCTTGTAAACGCGAGGTGTGTTTGCCGTAAGGAGGAAACCCTCTTATTCCTATCATCCTGCGATCAATCACGGCGGCGAGGTAGGCGCGGGACGCGCCCGATTTGCTGGCAGCGGCGGGAATGAGACCCCCGAACAACAATTTTCACGCTGAGGACTCGTTAACCTCGCGACCCGCCACATTAATGTAGAAATAACAGGTCATGCGCGAGAGTAAATTCCACCCCTCGCTTCACTCCCGCAACAGCTCGCGAGATACCGGTGTAACCAACTTGCAACGCGCGCGGCAAAAAGCCATTTTCGCGTTGTAATTCGTTTGTTGTGGAGTAGTCGAGAGTCTTGTTATCCGAACGCGTTCAAGATCGTTTCGCTTACAAGCCACGCGTAGAACGTATGGAACGATTTGCACGGTGTAATATCTCAAAAGTGTATTTCTTGATCTGGCGCCAGAGATTTCTTTTGTTCAATAAAGCCAGCCATGATCAATGGAAGCTATTTAACAATGAGGATTGAAGTATCTGGTAAACTTTGAAGAATAAAAAAAAAAAAACAAAATCTTATCTTTTTCTTATTTAATGCTGTATAGACTTTATTTTTCGTATCTTGATTTGCGGCTTATTGTTAATTATCAAGTTAATTACTAACAGTTTATTGATGAAAATCTTGCATAATTCTTTCGTGTTATTTGTTATTAAATATGATTTTCTATAGCATATAAATTCAAAGTTTAGATGGCGTTCACTTGATATTAATATGTTACGAAGCAGTTATCAAGGAAATAGAGGTTATCAGCTGTAACAAGCAGAAAATTAATCCCGGCGCGGTGTTTATTAAGTATAATAACTCATTCGCAGTTTACAGAGCAAACTTTTCACCGTTGACCTCTCCCGTGCGCAATTATCTGCTGATCTATTTGCAGGTTTTATTTTACGGTACGAAATCTTAATCCCTAGCGTTACGACTATCTAAAAGAATAAAACAGAGGGGAGAAAAAGGGAGAGAGAAGTAGAAAGAATCGCGATTATCCGCAAATGTACACGTGCATTGAAACGAAATGCGGCGCGGATAACGCAATTCTCTCCTCGTTTTGACTGCGTTCCGTCGAGTAATCGAATTAGGTATTCTTTATGGGCTCCGCGGGAAACTTCGTTTGATAACGGTCGAAAACGCGCTGTGTACTCACCGTATAATCGAATACTACTCTCAACCTCGCCGAGGGAATTTTTGGCCGCACACCGGTACGTTCCCACGTCGTTTTTCTGCAAATTCCGGATCATGAGGCTCATCCGGACCTCGAACGGTGATTTCGTCGTCATCTGGACGTTGTGCCTGACGCTGGATATTATCATCGCACCTGGAGAACAAAGTAGAGAGCATACTCGATTATTCCAATTCCGCCGGCTAGAAAACCACATATTGTTTTTCCTCATGTTTGCGTATTCAGCATTTTTATCGGTTATGTATGCGGCAGTAATAAAAAAATCATTCATTATGAAATTACAGAGAGAAATACAAGAGTATTTTACAAGAAAGAAAGAGATTGAAATTAAAAACAGATATACAAATTTGTAATATAATGACCGCAATTTCGCGGTTTAAATACAAATCGTAATTATATATTTCTTGATATTATTAGAACCATTTCAAGAATTTTTATATTTGAACACATATTTTTTTCGGGTTCAATGTTACTCCGATTTTTCAATCGCTTTAATAATTGAGCAAAATTTGAAACGCTACACTTTAAAATATTATTGAATTAATTATATTCATTTATTTAAATGTTATTTCAACTAAACTATGAGATATACTTATGCGCTGCACTAAGAAGCCACGTCTTTTACCATAAATAAGATATCTCGCCCGTTTCATGCTATGCTTTCTTATTACACGTTGAAACAGTTGCGGATAATGGGAAACAAGTGAAAGGTATCTTCCACGCGAGACGAAATTGCATACGAATGCATTGGAGCGAGGAACTCCGGATAGCTGAGCGTGTGTTAAACTGGGAGAACGTCTGGCTCTTGCGAGGTGAAATCCACTGCGGGGATATTTCCGCGAGTCTGGATAAGTAGTATTCTCTCTTATATCTATCTAAAGTTTTCTTGAGGGATTCTGAGCCAAGTTATTACACGTTGTTGCGATATGTTGCTGGTGCTCGTTGACATTTCGTATGGATTTATAGTACCGAAACAATTGGCTTCTTACCGCGCGATATATTTATTTAAAAAAGCTAAAATTTAAAAGAACTGTTGACTATTGATATGCACCGAGAGAACCTTTACTTTTTTTATCTTTATTATTATATTTTGCATAAAATAGAAAGAAAGTTGAATTATTTCGCGCTCTCTTTTTTTTGTTGTTGTTTAGTTTCATAAGCTTGTAGAACGAGTTTCCAATAATACGAATAATAAGTTTCTTGAAACTGATAACAACGATATCGCATCGCCTAAACTAAAGTACGGTCTATAATCGGATTTGTCTTGTGAGAGTAATTAACGTTTGAGCATTTCTCCGCTAGTTACAGTCGGTAATTAGTTAACAAACCAATCGTTATAACGGACTACGCTACTTGTGGTAAACAATACGCAAGGGAAACTACAACTATTTCGCGCAGATGTTGATATTGCATTCGTGCTGCATACACATGAATGGAAAGATATTTTGTAAATTATTCCAATCGCGTTAAATCATAATTTCATTTCACGATGGAAGTGAAAACTTTATTGTTAATAATTGACTCTTATTATTAAAATTAATATATTTCATTGATAGAAAACAAGAGGAAATTGAATTGTTAATGATTTGGAATGTATATTGGCATATACGAGTAAATATACATATGTGCAATGTATACGACAAAGATTAAAAGTTAGAATGTGTTGTGTGCAAAGAAACTTCAACTTACGTTACAGACTTGGAAGTTGCGTGGAATTATTCGTGAAAAATATTTATATAGTTCAAAGAATGCAAATAAGGCTCGTCAGCTTTATTCTGCATAGAGTGTTACAAAAAAATTTAGTTAAATATCGCCTAATGATATAACATACTCATTTTTTCACTTATATTTCTTTAAACATTCAACCTAAAAATCTATAAATTATTTAACTAATAATTATAATTGTTAATTAATCTGTATCTTTTTTCTGTCCAAAAAGCGACCATAAGAATTATTCAATATATTGAATGGCAATGTATAGAATTAATAATAACCAAAATACATATAATTTATAAGATAATAATAGATCAAGGTTTGAAAAATTTAAAAACAAAGTCGATAAAAGAGGCTAACGAACCAAGCCGGGTGTACGTTTTAAGAATGTGTTACAAATTTA